CGTGAAATCAAAACACTATAAGGATACATTTAGGACTTTGACCAAGTGGAATAAAGATTAGACAATATTAATGAAGGTTTACAGTATGCCATAACTGAAATTTTTTCTTACGGCTTGTCAAACCTAAAACAGATTTGTAAATTGATCCTTCATGGTGTGAAATTCAAGCCTGAATGTAAGGAAGAATTCTTGAGTGATAGACACATACTAATTCGGCTTACCAAATATGAAAGATTACGTACATATCATGTCAAAATCAACATTTTTTTTGAAGGCTAAAGACCGATATAATATGAGATGTGACCTCTAAATTGGGAACGCTAGTTCAACCCAGAGGCGGAAACTACTACTGCCTTAGGGTGGATCTCTTTTTCATCCTATCACCTAACTTTTTCGTTAAAGAATCCTTGTTTACGATAGCCAAAGCAGTGGAAAAACCGTTACATGTTGTCATGGCTACAATAAGCAAATCTAGACCTAGTTTTTTCAAGGTAAAGGTTGAAATCGACTTATTGAAAGAATTTCTCAAACGGAATAATGTTGAGACATATTCTGGGGAAATCATCTCAACATGGATAAAAATCTTATACGATTACATGCCAAAGTATTGCAAATATTGCGTACTTTAAGGCAGAGGCATGGTTTTCGTCGAGGGTGTTCAAAAAGATAAGTAAGCACACTAATAGTATTCACAAATAAGAGGATCGGTGCAGGTAAAATATAAACAGGTCAGATTCGACATAACCAACTAAATAAAATTCACACTCTACTTCAATACAAACAATAAAATCAAGGAAGTATGTGTTTAACATAATATTAAAATGAGTACGAGAGAATGTATTTTTTAAAATTTTTAATCATGGTCTTGTCTCCATCATTGTTCTATATATATGTTACTAGCATTCGTATCCGCGAAATGCGTATATAATATTAAAATATTATTTTATTGTGATATCTTGTTCGAGTATATTAAATCATACAAAAGTTCAACTATCACATTGTTCATCATTAATGAAATGTAATCCCTCCCCCTCCCCACTCCACCCCACCTCCACCCCATAACTAATTCTATGTGAATAGACACAACGAATAAATTTTATGTTTCATATTTTGTTATTACTATTATATTGTTCACTATTTAAAATCATTAAATTCTTAATATTGACTTTTATTAGCTTATCATTTAGCTTAATATAATCATTAAATAATTTGCTAATAAATAAAAAACATATATACTTATTGTGCTTACTCGTGATTTTTAAAATTTTATTTTAGTGTTCACATCTCTCTAATTTAATGTTTTATGGACAATAATATGAATATTATTAAACTATTCTACTGTATTCTCAAAATTATTCAAAATATTTTCCCCACCCCTCTTTCCCCTTCTTTTTGTACTGTATTTTTATTACTTTTCTCTAATATAATTTTAATGAGTTTTTTTATGTTAAACGTCAAAAGAAGTTGAGTGTTTTTTTTTTTTTTAATATAAAGCATACTAAGCTTAAATTTGTTACTTAAATTCTATATTTTCATGTGTCATTATTTATTGAGATTTTAGTTATATGATATATAGATTTTAAGTCTTTTCTCGTTATTATTGAAAAAAAAAAATCTCATCTAAAAGCCCTTCAACTTTTTTTACATTATAATTTATAATTTGTTTCCTAGTTTGTCCTAACATAATAGTTATTGTATTATTCATAAAATAGTATCCTTACACTAATATGTAAATTTTTAATAGCTTGTCACTTTACCTAATATTCTTATGGTGCGTAAGATATTAATAAGGATATCAGTTAGTTATATCTATTTACATTTTATAATGGATAAATTTTGTACAACATGAAATTAAAATTGATAAAATTCACTAATAAAGTTGGTGATCAATAACTTAAAGAAAAATAAAAAAGAGAAGTAATCTTAACATTATAAATCATTGCAGAAGTATATGTAAGAGAGGCTTAGAAAGTAAAACTCCAGTACAAATCAAATTTTATTTAAGTTTGAATTCAAATATCATTTTAATTTATTTTTTTAAAATCTTTTTATTGCTCATCCTTATCCTTGATTTTATGAATACAATAATATTTTTATAAGCTATATATTTGAATAAAGAGAAATATTTGGAATAATAAGATAGTTGATAATTAAATTGACTAAAGGGTCACTTGGTGTAATTATGCCAAAGAATTATTTGAACAAGAAAAAACAAATATGACTAAAATTACAGCATTCATAATTTCACAAGTTAAAAATATACCTCTTCACTCTCAGCAAGACAAAAACAGTAGTTATTTATATAGAACTTAATTCATATATATATACTTAAAAGTGGAAAACTTCTAACTTCAACGTTGGATTTTAATTGTGCTCCTACATCATATTAAAATATAATAAGAATACCTATTATCATGCATGCCAACTATTTTTGCTGCTTGGAAGTTCCGCCGGTGTTTGTCTTGGAAAATTTAGAGACGGACATAGAAGGAACTCGTTTTGTTAGGCCGACTAAAGCACACACTAATCTAGATAGATGTATTAGTACTACTAATGTAAACCCTCGTAGTAGTGTAACTAGGAGACACGCTCTGCCACTATCTTGTATAAGGCTGGCAAGGGGACGGGGACGGGGACTGGGGGACAGGACGAAGGGGGACGGGACGGGACGGGGGACGGTTCTGGGGGGATTTTGGGGGGACCGGGATTGGGGGGACCGGGATTGGGGGGACAAAAATAAGTCCCATCCCGTCCCACTATATATACGGGATGGGACGGGTTTTGGGGGGACGGGACGGGACGGGGGATTTTTTATTTTTTATATACTTATTTATTTGTATTGAAATTATATGTTATTGAATAACATTTTTAGTTTATTTGATTTTTTTTCAATAACATTTTTAGCTAATAAATAATGCTTAAGTTTTCAAATTTCAAAATTCAAATTTCAATTTCAAACTTCAAATTTCAAACTTCAAATTTCAAATTTCAAATTTCAAATTCAACTTTCAAATTTCAAATTTCAAATTTCAAATTCAACTTTCAAATTTCAAACTTCAATTTTCAATTTTCAATTTTGAAATTACAAATTTTAGAAGTTCAAATTTGTCTTTGAAATATTTTAAAGTAATTTAAACTTGAAATTTTGATTTTGAAGAAAAGGCCCCAAAAAAGGACGTTATGTGCAATACTTTGAATTTTCCTTCTTTTTTTTTTTTTTTTAATAATCTAGGTGTTAGTTGATGTATTAAAGTTCCATTTTTTAACATTTGTTCCTTATTATAAATTTTGTAATAGCTAGTTCTCTTTTTATTATGTTCAACTATTTTCAAACAAATTAGTATATATGTAAATATGTATGAATATATTAAAATTAAAATGCAAGACAATAGTTATATAAAAAAAACTTAATAAAGCCTTCAAATTTATTCAATAAAATCTAATTGCAACTTAGAACTTAGAAGTTACAATTTACAAATATTAGTGGAGTAACTAATCTACGCAGCCACCTTCTAGGAAGGGTTCTGTTTCAATAAGTTCTCATATGTAAAACTAATATTTGTTACAAATATTAGATGAGTAACTAATTTACGCAGCCACCTTCTAGGAAGGGTTCTGTTTTAATTAGTTCTCTGATGTAATCTAATATTTGTATTTTCCTTTAAAATTCAATTCTAATTGTCGCATCATATCGACGGTAACATCCTCCGGTGTTGGCAAACTTGCTAGAAACTCTTGTGACTCTAATTCATCATCACTAGATCCAAGTACCGCATTAATCCAAGCTTCTTGTTTGGAACTTAACTTTGGCAAATTATCATTTCTCCTTTCGGCGTTGACCCAATCTCTAAATAAAACTGATATTTCCAAACTGTCTTCCGCCAATGAATGTCTATGATCGCCAAGTTGAAACCTTGCCGCACTAAAAACAGCCTCTGATGCAACTGATGAAGCTTGAATAGCTAGAACATCACGAACCATTTTGCTTAAAATTGGAGATGCAACGCTCCGCCTCCTCCACCATGCTAATAAATCTTCATTGCCATCTTCGTCTTCCACTGTTTCTAAAGATTGATTAAGATATTCTTCAAAATCATCAGGGTTAGTAGAATTAAGACCAAGAAAATCTCGCATATAACTTGAAATTCGAGCTTTACTCTGAGGATTAGAAGTTTGACCAACTTCTTGAATATTTCCTGTAGTTCTATATTTTTCATACAAAATTTTTGCTTCTACTTTTATGCTACACTTACACATTTGACTAGTTGGATTTATTTCCGGTGAAATTTCTAAGGTATTATAAAAAGTGTCAACAAGTCCCTGCACACCTTGTAATTTATAGTCAGGATGAAGTAAAGTAGCAGTTAAAAAAATTTGAGGAATAGGAAAAAAATATTTTTAAAATTTTTCAATCATACCTTCTTGTATGGCCAAATATTAAGCTATAAATATTATTATCTTGTTAACCAAAAAAAAAATTATTTGAAATTGATTGTTCATGATAAACGTATTTATTTTATACCTTAACTCTATTTTAATACCTTAAAAATGTTATAAACATGAGTAAATGTGTATCGTTGAGATCTTGGTCATAGTTCAAGGGTACTTATGTGTCACGACCTAGACTGTTGTGATTGGCACCCACACTAACCCTCCGGTGGAAGAACCATTACTACAACCCGTCTAACAAATTTTACAAAAATTAAGGCATTTAATGATACAGAAGCAGGTTTAATGCAGAAATAAACAGGAGTTCCCATAAACATCGAAAGTTTGACAAACAATTACTAAACATATGTGGAAAGAACGCCTAGAACCTGAAAGTCAATGTACCAAAACTCTAAAGTTCAACAAGCCTACGAAAATGGGCACAACCCCGAAACTAAACAAATGAATATCTAAAGTACTAATCTAAGTCCAAAGAAAATAGACTAAGTAAATGGAGAACTCATGGCAGCCTGGAAAAACTCGCTCACCCTTGAATTCGGTCTCGATCACTATTAATCTCTTAGCCGAGGCCTATCAGTAGCCGCCTGAAGATGCCCTGTACTCAACAAAGAATGAGCAACTGCAGAATTAGTACACATTACTAGTGTACTGGTAGGATCACGCAGCTATTCCAGTAAGCAAAACATATATAAGCAGTATTAACATAGTAAATATGACATGTACAGAACATATATACACATTGGTTATCATTTCAGGAGCAATGTACGATTACACATTCTCAATAACAAGTAGACAAGAAAATTTAATGGTCCTCTCATAGAACCCATACTCAAACTGTTTGTGTGTCGGAACGTGACACCCGATCACAATTACTATGTCGGAATGTGACATTTGCTCTAATATAAGTGTCGAAACGTGAAACCCAATCCATTCAACAAAACCACAATCACAATCACACTCATATGTACATACTCATAATCATACAATAAAGTGTTGAATCATGACATACTTTTGTTCATTCATACTCATTTCATTAGGTTTGACCAAAAATGATTCATTCACATAGATACATGCATTACAGTGAAGAAATTACCAACATACATCACGCAATACATGAAATCAAACAATAACCTACCGCGAAACCAAGCTTGAATCCCCCTAAGGCACTTGAATCTTCCCTTTCTGGATTCTTTCCGCTTGTTCTAGGTCTACCAACAATTAATATTTGCAAGGATCAATAATTTAAGGTCTAATTATCCAGAATATAGAAAAACCAATAACCCAATACCAACCCATGATCCCAATCCCTAATTTAGGGCTTTTTCCACCATTAGCTTTAGATCAAAAGCTTCCCCCAGTAATAATTACCAAATAATCTAAATTCTATGGATCAAAAAATGGATTAGGGGAGTAAAATCATTACCGTTAGTGCTAGAAGAGGTGGAAAACCTTCAAGAGATATCCTTTGGTCGTCTCTTATCTCTAAAGAATGAAACTTGTAGAAAATAACATTATTAGGGTTTAATCCCGACTTAAGTTGCTACTTGTCCACCGTAGCAGGACCCAACCCGCCACAGCGGCCCTGCCCTGGCGGGAATAATCCTGACCTAGTGCCTTACATACAGACAGAGAGTCGAAAATTGAGTCCCAAATCCCCATTTCACAACCTTCAACCCATGACGTTCAAAGACTACCCTTTCATGCTAAGTTCAGTTTCAGGAGTTCCACTCGCCCGAATTTGATTCTATAAAGTCGTACGTGTTCCTTAACGTCTTGGCTATCTAGTCATGTAATCAACTTCATTATTAAATCTCTTATTCATTACCAGATTTCCCTAGACCTCGCATGACTCATATTTCGTCCAAATCTGGACTAGGCTAGGAATTTTCAAATCACTACTCAAAAGTTTTATGGCCCAAATTATTTTCCCCATTGGCTTTTCGATAATGACGGGAACAATTCGTTACAATAGATACCAATTTACACATCACTCTTCCCCGAGTGACAAACTAGGAAAAAACTTGCTAAAGTAAGAGTAGAGTAGTAATTGAATCGTTAAACAACTTGGATACTTGTCTAGCATGTCCTTCTCAGTTTCCCAAGTAGCTTCCTCGACTAGACGATGCTTCCATTGAACTTTCACCTACTTTATCTCCCTGGTCCTCAGCTTCTGGATATCGCGATCAAGAATTGCCACCAGTTCCTCCTAATACTGAAGATCGTTGTCTAACAAAACTGAGTCCCATTTTATGATGTAATCCCCGTTCCCATGATACCTTTTGAAAATCGATACATGAAATACCAGATGAATTCCCGATAAGCTAACAGGTAAGGCCAACCTATAAGCCATTCGCCCTACACAGTCAAGAATCTCAAATGGACCAATGTATCGAGGACCTTCTTGCCAAATCTCATCACCCCTTTCATGAGTAACACTTTAAGAAGAACTCTCTCACAAATCTGAAATTCCATGTCTCTTACCTTATGGTTTGCATACTTGTTCTATCGACTTTGGGCTACTAGGAGCTTAGCTTGGATACTTCATACCTATCCTGAGCATCCTTGAACAAGTAAACCCCTAGAGGTTTCACATCTCCAGCATCAAACCATCCTATGGGTGATCTGCATCCCTTTCCATAAAGTGCCTCGAATAGTGCCATGTCAATGATGGTGTGGTAACTGTTATTATAGGAGAACTCACATAACAGTAGGAACTTATCCCAATGTCCTCTAAATTCAATCACACATGCCCTCCACATGACTTCTAACACTTAAATAGTCCTCTCTGACTGCCCGTCTATTTGCGGATGAAAGGTTTTGCTAAAAGTGAGTTGAGTGCCCTATTCATCATGTAATTTTCTCCTAAACTTGGATGTGAACTACGTACCACGGTCTAAGATGATAGAAAGGGTCACCCCGTACAACCTCACTATCTCTTTCACATAAACCTTAGACATTTGCTGAGCATTATAATCTATTCTGACTGGAATAAAATGGGATGACTTAGTTAATCTATGAACCACTACCCAAATAGAATCAAACTTTTCCAATGTCTTGGGGAGACCAACCACAAAGTCCATGGCTATCCTTTCCCACTTCTATTCCGGAATTGACATTCTCTGAAGAAAACCTGCAAGTCTTAGATGCTCATACTTTACCTATTGACAGTTTTGACACTTACCACAAATTCAACTATGTTTTTCTTCAAGTCAGGCCACCAATAAGGTCGCTTCAAATCTCGGTACATCTTGGTCACACCTGGATAAATAGAATACCGCGAGCCATGAGACTTTGTCAACAATTTCAGAATCAAGTCATCTACTTGAGGAACACAATTCATTCCTTTAAAACTGAGCACACCCCCGCATCAAGAGTTGTATCTTATGTCTTGCCAGACACTGTCTTCTTTTTGAGCTCATTCAAACTATCATCCTTAAATTGTTTGGCCTTGATCTCCTTAATGAATGTGGCCCTAACCTCAATTCTAGATAACACCCCACCTTTTTTTTAAAGATGCCCAACTACATGAACTTAGATTCCAATGTTTGAATTTCCTTAGCCAGAGGTAGCTTGAATACACTCAAGCAAGCTGGATTACCCATACTCACCGCCCTTCGGGTTAATGCGTCTGCCACCACGTTGGCCTTAACCGGATGATACTGAATGGTCACATCAAAATCTTTGAGTAACTCTATCCACCTTCGCTGTCTCAAATTCAGATCCTTTTGAGCGAATACATGTTTTAGACTACGATGATTAGTAAACACCTCACACTTGACACCATACAGGTAATGTCGTCAGATCTTAAGAGCAAACACTACCGCAACCAACTCTAAATCATGTGTTGGGTAATTCCTCTCATGCAGCTTCAACTGCCGCCATGCATAAGCTATAACATTCTTATCCTGCATCAACACAACACCCAAACCCGAATGTGATGCATCACAATAAACAATAATATCTTTACCTTCCACCGGTAGTCCCCAAATAGGTGTTGTGGTCAGAAATGTTTTGAGCTTTTGAAAGCTCTTTTCACACTTATTAGTCCACTTGAAAGGTACCTCCTTCTTTGTCAACCTTGTCTGATGCATGGCAATAGAGCAAAGTTCTTCACAAATCGATGATAGTAGCTAGCGAGTCATACAAAACTCCTAACTTCATTCACAGAGCTAGGCCGAACCAAATTCTTAACCGCTTCAATCTTTTAGGGATATACAGTTACCCCTTCCCTTGAAACTACATGCTCCAAAAAGGCGACTGAATCCAACCAGAACTCACACTTGAAAAATTTGGCATATAACTTTTGTCTCCCAAGAACACCCAGAACAATACGAAGATGGTCGGCATGCTTTTCATTACTCTTTGAATCGACAAAAATGTCATCAATAAATACAATCACAAAAGAATCCAGGGATGGTTTGAACACACCGTTCATCAAACTCATGAAAGTTGCAGACGCATTTGTCAACCCAAATGACATTACTAAAAACTCATAGTGCACATAGCGGTTCCTGAATGTCATATTTGGTACATCCTCAGGCCAAATCTTTAACTGATGGTAACCAAACCTTAGATCAATCTTAGAAAAACTAACACACCCTGCAACTGGTAAAAAAGATCATCTATTAAAAGGCAACATATACTTATTTCGAATGGTGATCCTATTAAACTGCCGGTAGTCTATATATATCATCATACTACCATCCTTTTTATTAACAAACAAGACAAGAGCACCCCCACGGGGAAGAACTAGGACGAATGAAACCTTTATCAAGAAGTTCCTCAATTTGAGCCTTAATCTCTCTTAACTTCGCCGGAGCCATGCGATAAGGAGGAATGGAAATGGAGCAGGTACCAGGTTCCAAATCAATGCAAAAATCTATATCTCTATTCGAAGGCATACCAGGAAAATCAATAGGAAACACTTCTCTAAATTCTGACACCACAAGAATAGACTCAATAGAGGGAGACTCAACCTCAACATCCTGAATATGAGCCAAAAATGCCAAACACCCCTGCCCCACCAGTTACCTAGCCTGAATGGAGGATATGACCTTAGCTGGCTTAGGCATATACACCATTTCCCACTCTAACTTTTCCCTACCCGGGATCTCTAGAGTCACAGACTTGTATAACAATTTAATACAACATAATAGGGGGATAACCAAGTTATGCCTAAGATTATATCAAAGTCAGTCATATCGAAAATAACCAGATCAGCCCAACTTTGGAAACCCATAAACATAACAGAACAAGCACAATAAACATGGGTGACTATGTCAGACTCTCCAACTGGGGTAGAAACATGGATGGGGGCATCAAGTACATCAGAAACCGCATCAAATCCCAAGGCAAACTGAATTGACGCGTATGAAAAATTAGAACCCGGATCAAATAATACATTAGCTATACAGTCACAAACGAGAATAGTACTTGTGAGCACTTCATCAGATGTCTCTGCCTCAGTCTTACCTAGAAAGACATAAAACTCAGCCCTGTCATCTTGACAAACAACCTCCTTTCTTGGTTCGCTGCTCATCTACCTGCATTACCATTACCTCGAACTCAACAGCCTCAATGATATCCTCCTCGCCCACCTTGTGATCTTCCTCTACCATTATTACTATTTCCCGTGGGTACCATTGCTATAGTTTACTGCTGCGCTGGATCCAACATGCGCAATTGGGGCAATATCTCCACATATGCCTAGGTTCCCCAAAATTTTAGCAAGTACGATCAAATTACGGTATTCCGCTAGCCAAAGACACGGCTCCCTAGCTATCAAAAATAAAATTCTACTTTGGAGTTCCCGAGTAACTACATGTAGAAGCGGGCATGGCATACTGAATTGGCATGGCTGCAAGCGTCGGCCAACCTAAACCTCTAGAGTAAGAACCCTGAAAGTTACATGTGCTCTTGGCTTTCTTAGCCAAATCCTTAGCCTACTCATAACGTCTAACTCCCTCTACTTTCTTCACAAAGTTGGTCACCTCATTAAAGCTCTTTCCTGCAGAAGTCATGTGAGCAAACAATATCTGAAGTTTGGGGTTCAGTCCTTTGATGAATAGAAGAATCATCTCCTCCTCAGTAGTCACCAATTGAGTAGCATATCTAGACAATGCATGAAATTTAGACTCATAAGTAGTTACAGACATACCACTCTGCTCCAAAGCCATGAACTCATCCTTCTTGCAATCCTTTAATGTCTGAGGCACATATTTTTCCAAAAATAGAGCATAAAACTTTTTCCAAGTGAGTGGGGGTAAAGCTGACGATCTGCATTCCACATATGCTCCCCACCACTACTTAGCCTCACCCTGAAGCTGGAAAGTCACAAAGTACTCTACTACATGCTGATGGACAATACCCAACTTATGAAACCTATCATAACAATCCAAAATGAACTCATAGGCGTCCTCACTCTCAAAACCATGGAACACAGACGGTTTCACTTTCAAAAACATAGTCAACATTTCATTCTCATTACTAGTCATCACCAGACCCAAGAGGGGATAGAAAAAGGCATCAATGTCTACGTTTCCATCCATCTTTAGAGCGGTGACAACTATAAGGGGGGTTGACGCGAGTTTGAGTTGCTTGAATAGAAGGAAGAACTCCAAGACCAACCAATCCCTTCAGAAAAGTTATAATTTGTTGAGATAACACTGGGTCAAAGGGTGGAATACATGTAATCTTAGCCTACACCTCTTTCTCTTGTCGAACATCCTCCTTATTCTCAATCTCCACATTCTTCTCTATCACTTCATGATGCACATGAGGAACCTTATTTCTAAAAGCATTCTCAACAGGAAGTCCACCCCTAGCAGGTGTTACCCTTCCTCGGCCTCTACCCCTTGCTCTTTCTCTACCCCTACCTCGTCTGCGGCCTCTTGCTGCGGACTCTTCAGCGAGCTTATTGACGGGAGCTACGGCCTAACACCGTTGAATCTACTGTTAACCATCCACAAACAGAAGAGTAAAGGAGATTAGATACGAATTTACATTACCATATACCAATTGGAATCAAGTTATAGCACGAAAGGAGACAAGAGAAAACAGAGAGATTTCCTAAAGTACTATAGCCTCTCGAAGAAATGTACAGACATCTCTGTATCATTCTACAACACTCTACTAGACTTGTTTTGGTACTCCGAGGTCAACGAACCTAGAGCTCTAATACCAACTTTGTCAGATGTGTGGCAATAGAAGCAAAGTTCTTCACAAATCGATGATAAGGGGTACAACCCCGAAACTAAACAAACGAATATCTAAAGTACTAATCTAAGTTCGAAGAAAATGGACTAAGCAAAAGGAGAACTCATGGCAGCTTGGAAGAACTGGTTCACCCTTGAATTTGGTCTCATGTCCTAGCTGAGGTCTATCACTAGCCGTTTCAATATGCCATATACTCAACAAAGAATGAGCAAGTGTAGTATCACTACACATCCACAGTGTACTGGTGGATGACACGGCTATTCTAGTAAGCTAAACATATATAAGCAGTCACAACATAATAAACATGACATGTATAGAACATATATACACATTGGTTATCATTTCAGAAGCAATGTACAATTACACATTCTCAATAACAGGTAGATATGACAATTCAATGGTCCTCTCATGGAACCCATACCAAAACTGATAGTGTGCCGGAACGTGCACGGTCCCAATTAATGTGTCAGAACGTGACACCCGCTCCAATATAAGTGTCAGAACGTGACACCCGATCCTAGTTAGTATGTCGGAATGTGACACCCGATCTATTCACACAACCTCAATCACAATTACACTCATATGTTACATACTACTAATCATACAATCAAGTATTGATTCATGGCATACATTTGTTCATTCATACTCATGTCATTAGGTTTGATCAACAAAGCTTCATTCACATACATACATGCATTACAATGAAGCAATTACAAATATCCATCACGCAAAACATCAAATCAAACCATCAGCTACCTCGAAACCAAACTTGAATCCCCCTAAGAGAATCTTCCTTTTCTAGATTATTTTCTCTTGTTCTAGGTCTACAAACAATTAATATACGCAAGGATCAATAAATTAAGGCCTAATTATCTGGATTATAGCAAACGCAATAACCCAAGACCAACCCATGATCGCAATCCCCAATTTAGGGCTTTTTCCACCATTAGCTTCAAATCAAAACCTCCCCCCAGTAATAATTACCCAAGAATCTAAATTCTACGGATTGAAAAATGGAGTAGGGGAGTAAAATACTTTCCTTTAGTGCTACAAGAGGTGGAAAACCTTCAAGCAATATCCCTGGTTCGTCTCTTAGCTCTCAAGAACGAAATTTGTAGAAAACAATGGTTTTGGGGTTTAATCCCAACTTATGTCTTGACTAGCCCACCGTAGAGGGACCCAACCTACCACAGCGGCCCTACCTTGGTGGAAATAATCCTGCCCCAGTGCCTTACACGTAGACAGAGAGTCATAAATTGAGTCTCAAACCCCCATTTCACAACACACCTTCAACCCATGACGTTCAAAGACTATCATTTCACACTAAGATTAGTTTCACTCGCCCGAATTTGATTTCGTAAAGTCGTACGGGTTCCTTAATGTTTAGCTATCTACTCATGTAATCAAATTCATTATTAAATCTCTCATTCATTATCAGATTTCCCTAGACCTCGCATGACTCAGATTTTGTCCAAATTTGGACTAGGCTAGGAATTTTCAAATCACAACTCAAAAGTTTTTTTGCCCAAATTCTTTCCTCGTTGGCTTTTCTATAACGACGGGAACTGGTCGTTCCATTATGAATTATTTCTTTTAATATGTATGCAATTTTATAAATTGCCCAAAATATATATACATATATATATCAACAATACGACATAATAAAGATCACAAACGTCATGTAGTGATATATTTATCTTTTCAATTAGTAAATGTTAAACAACTCACATTTCAAATGTTATATTGATTTGTATTGGATTTATTTAACAAATAACAAGTCTCTCTAAATAATAAAATTTGTATGGTAATTTATTTAAATAAATTTACTAGTACAAATATAAAACATAAAACATAGAAAATAAAGAAAATTGTTAAAAGGATTTGAGAGGTATATCTTTACACAGATTAATACCATGGTATTAAATTTTATGTATTTCTATATCACCAAATGTAAGGTATTAGTTAGACATTATATACCATGTAGGGTGTATAACTAATCCATGAATTATTTATACATAGACATAACATTAAAATGAGTACGAGAAAATGTATTTTTGAGATTGTGATCATTAAAGAAGAGTTACCGTTTGCCATAATTGGAAATTTTACTTATTGTTGGTTAGAACTACAAGAGACTTGTAAAATTAGTCCTTTATGGTGTGAGATTCAAGTCAGAGTATAAGGTAGGATTCTTGAGTGATACACACATCCTAATTCGCCTTACCATTATGTAAGATTATGTACATGTCATGTCAAAACCACTATATTTTTGAAGGCTAAATACGGGTATACTTTTAAATGCACTCTAAAGTGGGAAACTTAGTTCAACCCAGAGGTGGAAACTTCTACTGTCTTTGCATGGATCTGATCTTTTCCATCCCTATCACCTTTTTTTTCATTAAAGAATTCTTGTTTATGATGGCCAAAGTAGCGGGAAAATCGTTACATGTTGACATGGTTATAATAAGAAAATCTAGACCTAGTTGTGTCAAGGTAAAAGTTGAAGTCGACATATTGAATGAGTTTCCCAACTGGATCAATGTTGGAGTTAAGAAGACATCTTCTGAAGAAATATTCTCAACATGGATAAAAATCTTATGCGATTACAATATTGCAAACTTCAAGATGGAGGCATGATTTATGTCGAAGGGGTTCGAAAAGATAAGTAAACATACTAGTAGTATTCACAAATGAATGGATCGGGGCAGGTCAAATATAAACGGATCGGATTCGATATAAGAAACTAAATAAAATTCAACTCTACCTCAACACAAACAATAAAATCGAGGATGTATGTGTAACAACCCAAAAATTTCTAAGTTAAGACCCGAACTATTTTTCATATACATGTAGGGTCAAATAGGGTGATTCTTCAATTGCCCATATATGTGTAAAGGTAAATTATTTAGTATGAGAATGTTTTTGGATATAAATTAAGGTCACTAGAAGCTCATAGCACAAAGTTGAATTGAAAGTTTTCTAACCGATTAAGTTTTGATGTAAGATTTTCTTTGGGTCAACTTCAAATGACCATATCTCTTTGAATACAAAGAGTTAAATGACCCATAACCTATCAAATTAAAGGTATTTGAATTTTCTTTCCAACGCCACCAATTTGGCAACTAAATTACCTACGAATTTTGTAAATTTGCAAGTACTAATTACCTACGAAGGTTTTTCCATCAGATTTTAATTGGCCAAATAATTCGCAGGTAAACAAATTACTTGGGGATTTTACTATATTATCCCTATGAAAATCCCCAGGTAATCAACACTTTTCTTGTAGTGTGTGTCATGGCTTTGTTGAGGATATTATAGTGACAACAATAATATAATAAAAATAAGCTTTCAAAGGATTAATTTTACAACTTATTTCATTCGTGTGACTAATTAGTTAGCAATT